AAAATTCGGAATATCACAAAAGAAAGAGTATCAATAATAAAATAAAAAGATAAAAAATATCTGGGATACGAACTCGATACCTTCAGCTTTGACGGCGACCGTTTATCCAATGTGCTGTTGCACCTCTTATGAGATATTGAGTAATAATGAAACGTTATAGTGCAGACACGGTGATCATACAATATACCTTCTTAACAAATGCATCGCGGCTACATCCACAATGCAATAAATACAAATAAATCTGTTGAAATTAATTTGAATATTTATTGCTACAACACTCTATTGAATATTTCATATAGAAAAAAATGCCAAATAAAAATAGAATAGTAATTCTAGAGAACTCTAGAGAAATGCCAAACCGTACAGTATCGAAATGAAAATCTATTTTTACACAATACATAATACATAAAAAAAATTCTTCTTTGACATGCATATTTTATTTTTCTGCTCACACGCGCACATGCATGACTTTACGCGCAGCGTTGCCGTGTGTGAATGTAAGTCACTCTTATGTACTCAGTCACAATTCAATTCTCGCGGCAAGCAGACGCGACTATTGATTGTGATTCAGAGTGCTTTCTATTCTCCATCAGTTACCACCAGTTTCATCAGCAATTTTTGAGTGAGTAAAAAAAAATATTCAATTTCATTACATTCTTTTTAATTTTGAATTGAATTTTGATATTTTTTGTGATTTGTAAAACTATTGATTTATATATTAGTGATTTATAAATTGGTACATAAAATAAATTCCTTTGTCTATAAATACTATATGTGCGCGCATGTGTATCCATATTAAAATTAGTCTAAACCACGTTGGCATTTTTTTCCTGAATTAAATTTAAAATTTTCAATTTAATCCTAAATTCTTTTTCTCAAACATTTTGTTGTTGATTTTTTTCGAGTGAATATATTTTTTTGTAAAAATTACAGAGTTGAAGTAAAAAATTCGATTTAAGAAGATAAACATTACATTTGATATATTGGTGTACGTGCATATATTTATTTCGAACATGGCTGTAGCCATGTATCACGAAACACATATGTTATGATATGTTTATATTCGCGTGTGTTTACAATGACAATGTGTATTGGATTGCGTCTAGTATTCACTATTCATTGAGTTGAACAGTCACGCTGTCATATTAAAACTAATCACGTTTGTTGAATCTTTGTTCTGAATATGACTTTTTTTTCTTTTTTTACAGATTACTTATTCGTTTGAATTGTATTGAATAGGCTGAAAAAAGAATTTAATATTTTTCGCCGAATTTCAATTGACAATAAGAGTATTTTTTTTAAATAAAAAAAGGAAGCGGAAAAAAATGGTGGGTGGGCCGACAAAGGAATCAAACCTTTACAAGCAAAGTACAGAAGCATACGGAAGAATGGTGTGACTTTCGCCTAGAACGGTATACCGTTCAATTATATAGAGAAGGGGCATTGATAATCCTTCATAATCCACATTTTCATCATATGCTAGTTAGTATATTAGTGATGTTAGTACTGGAAACACACAACAGCATCAGTAGAAACGTTGTTTCATCATTAGTAGGCTACTAGTCACCCATTTACACCCATTTATCACCGCACCTTTATCAGTGCAGCTTAACTTCACGTATAGTTGTTATGTGCTTGTACTGTCTTTGCTGAAATCGACCTGCACAACGACCGTTTAATATTTCATTTATATTGCAGCATCAACCACTAAGCACTATACCGAAAGTAAGACGACAAAGTGCACACTTGCAATGAGTTACACACATTTTTACTATAATTCATTGAGGCGATCGTAGTACGAACGAATGTGAATGAATCTACTTTCAAAAAATTTACATGCTCACCAGTAAACATTCTCAGCGTATCAGAATTTGTTTTCAAAATAACACGTTTCGCATCAAATTTTTTTCCCCAAATTCATTCTTGAAGTGCCAAAAATTCCCTTTTTGTGTTATGTTCGGTCATTTATATCTTTTAAACGACGCAAAATATTCGATTCGAATACTTTCTTCGGGAAAGTTGTAGCCCTTGAAGAGACAAAAAAATATCACTAAAGGAAGGATCAATGACCTATCCTTGGGGGTAAAAATGTCCCCAGAAGTAATCCATTATGGCAATGACCAAAATGGGTCAAAAACCTTCCAAATCCCAAAATTGACCCTATTTTTGGATTCTTCACCAATTTTTCGGATTTTTGATGCCAGATGTCTTATTTTGGACCACATCCAGCAGTAATTTTGAAAAAAAAATCTGATACACTGAGCATGCTTACTTGATTTTTTCATGCATTTGCAAACATATTTCATATTAAGAATATCTACATTTTGCAAAACAAAGGGGAGATAGATAGACGGAATTAAAATATTTAAAATTCGGAATATCACAAAAGAAAGAGTATCAATAATAAAATAAAA